CATAGCACCACAAGGAAACATTGGATTTCCGTTCATTCCAGTAGTTTCGGAAACAAGCATGCCACTTAAAGAATCCATAGAATAGAGACCTAAGGACTAATATGAACACTGATATCTGCAAATATATTTTCTTACAGTGCCTCGGAAGAGGAACCCTTTTGCTTCATATTAGATGGCTTCTCATTTGTTGTTGTGGATAAGCCAGCCATTAAATCATCAACATCAATTTTCTGGTTCTCTTGCTCCAATGGAAGATTAGTACTGGTCCCAAAAACATCAGATGGCTTAAATGCCTTTTTATCTAGGGCAGCATGATTGCCATTGGCAGCCAACTTGCCATCAATAATTATACCAGAAAAGAGATCATCCACATTTTCTTTAACTTCACCAGCAAGAAATGACATGTCTGCAAAAGGGTCATCATCATTTTCTCATTTGGTGGTGCTGTGTCCAAAACCCATTCCATCTCCAATTAAATCATCAATTAGAGGCAAGTCTGGAGTTGGATTTGTTGCGTTTTGGTCATGTAGCTTCTTTGTAGAATCTTTTGTTCTAAAATAATTGTCTGAATCACCAGCATCAATCAAGTCCGGCAAGTGAACAGAAGAATTGGTCTCAGCTTTCACAGACTTTTCTGAGTTATTCACTGAATCACCTCCCTATTCCACATTCAAAAGGCTCAACACCTATTAACCAAGACCAAATCATATATATCAATATAGCACCCAGGCCATGGACTCAGATGACAGATTCTGAGCAAGCTAATCAATTGGCATTGATTTATTTAAACATGATTTATTACCCTGAATATTACATTAACAAACAAAAACTTCACACATGTTATAAACATATAATCAATTCAAGGAAGACTAAATTTAGGCAAGACAAAATAGAAAAGATACTGAAGTGAAACATGATATGATATTTCACTGCAAACACCCCAACAGACTACAAAATCTTGGATTTGACCAAAAGTCCTAAAATGAGTCGTCCCTTAATACAAATAAAAAGTAAAAGCATAAAAATGAAACTAAAGTAAAATCTTTTCTCTGAAAATATTTCTAGTACTCAACTCGATCTTTGTTTTTCAAAATTCAAGAAAAAGACTACACTAAAAAGTTACAAGAAACTTCATTTATTCTGCTATGAAGTCAGCTCACTGAACTATGATCGTGACTGCACAACGTTTGCTGCTAGTTATAGGTATTACACAAACAAATAATTTCATGAACAGGCACTTGGATACTAATGGTAGCTTGTTTCTGCATTTTATCTATTTACATAAAACTGAAATTTGGAAACTACTAAGATTACCTTGGTAACTTTGTCTCTCAGAGAAGCATAGAAAGACTCATAACATCTAACTAAGGCATCTTTATTTTCAGTGAAATAAGAGGCTGCAATGGAAAAATGTTCATCTTCCTTTCACCTCAAAAGGGCCTTGGGTACACAAACAGCTTTCATTCAAACCTGATCACCAAGCAAGTTATAAAAAAAAAGAAAAGAAAAAAAAAGAAAAGAAAGAAGAACACTATATAAGCTGTGCATTTAAATCAATAAGATGTCACTTTAAGATGTTATGCACCCATTCTGTCAAGAGAAATCAATGTAAGTAACATTATAAGATGAACAGGGAGACACAATCCAGGCTATGCCTTGGAGAGGAGATTGTCATTTCATAATTCAATAAGCATAAAATGCATGCCTGCCACAGTGGAGATTGAAGCTTTGAGTCAACGGCATGACTTAAAGCCAAAGTGTCAAGCATTGCAGCCTCCATAAGGGAAAGCTTGAATGGCATCTCGAGTGGGTTGTAGGCGTACACCACCAAATGTTACAGTGGTCTCCAACAGCCTCTCTTCATGAGCTTTGGTCTCTGAATAACTTGATGCAGATTCCCCATTAGTTGTTTCCGTGTTTTATACCCTTGAATCCCACCCCCAAGGTCCAACTGCCCTTGGTAATGTAATAACTGACATACTTCTACTGAATTTTGTTGCCTCTCCCTTCGGAATTCCATGCCAGGCCTTACCACTATGTATTTTATCAACCTTAGAGCCTGCAAAATCCAAGAACACATGTATAACATCTTTAAACTTTAAGGCTTTTGATTTTGGGTTAAATCTTTCCTACATGTCATCCTTATAAAATATCAATCTATCACCACAACATGTAAGTAGTTGCTGGATTAAGAAATTGGGTGCCGGATGAATTTGAGTACTTTTTAGGCACTGTTCTGTTGTTTATTGTATATTCAGGTGAATAATGTATTCCTTCCCAATGGGGATTATCATTGAAAAGTTACAGTAATTATTACAATTAAAAAGCAAATGCTAAATCAGATCAAGAAATTTTCAATTGCACCTGTAGAAGTCATTCACAATGACAAAATTTCACAGGTACGAACCATAAAGGCATAAACCAAAAATGACAGAATCATGCAACTCAAAATCTTCATTTTACACAACTCAACTTTTGTAGGAAAGACATGCCGGCAAAAAAGGGGTTAAAAAGGTGAATTTTTAACTGTAAACTTTGAAATGCAAGTTAGCCATCCCGAATTCCTAAACATACCTTAAGATGTGTCCTCTGAAACTCGATAGTGTTAATCTCATGAAACTAACTGAAGAAGAACAAATTTACCAACATCATTTAACTGCTTGACCAAGTTGATTTTTTTCTTCATTAAATTCTTAATTTCAATCAAAACACTGATAGTCAATGTGAAGGGATAATCTTCAATCAATCACCTTGAAAATTTCCCAAAATAAAATAGGATAAAGATATGAAGCAAACTAAATAGAATACCTTCTCCTTGACAACTGGGCTTTTGTGCTCAAGCCGCTTCAAAATATATTCTGAGACCTCATTCACAATACTAACAAGCGAAAATTGCAAAAGCTTGTCCTCATCAGAAGTTGCCGCATGGATCATCCGCGATCTCCAATAAGATACCACAGCTCTCCTGCTCGAATCCATATGGATGACAAATAAACAAAACCCCAATTCCCCAAAAATCTCATTCATTAGCAATTCAATCCAAATAAAGAAAAAAAAAAATTCGACTTTTTACAGTTGAATACCAATAAAACTGATGTGGGTTATTCGATCGGAATGGATTGAAAAAATTCAAAGCCCACTGAAATGAAGGATCTGGGATGCGATGCAAGGTAATTCGTTTGAATGATCGATTGAATCAGGCCCGTTTGAGAAGTGATGAAAGTTTCAAACTTCCGTTGATTAGAGTCAAGGAGATGGGAAAACCACGGAATTGAAGTAGGAGTTTAGGATGGAGTAGAGACAGAGAGAGCATGAAAAGTTGAAGAAAGAGAGGAAAAAAGGTGGATGGATGGACAGGTCAGCTTTTGAGAGTGCAGGTGAGTCACCGACGTGTATGGTAATTTCGGTTTTTTTTTAATATATAAAAAATATTATATAATGTAAATTATATTTAACTACGTTACTTTTTCTTTAAAAATAATTACATAAATCACTGGAAACTTCGGTCACCTCCGTCGGTCAAGAATTTTTATTTTGTGGTATGCAAAACATAATTTTTATTTTTGTTTGTATCTCTACCACATATTCTCAAGATTTTTTTCTTTGGTTTCTATTTTACCCCATATTTTCCACATTTTATATAGGAGGTCTTTTTTTATTTTTTTTTATTTTATTATTTTTTTTAATTAGGAAACAAAATAGAAAGTTTTTCCTTTATTTTGAGCGGATAGGTTGTCTTGGGTCACAGAAAATCTTTATTATCGCATAATACTAGTAAAATGTCTAACATGTAACTTTCAACCGTGCTCGGCTCCGATTTAATCTTGGATTCCCTTCAACAGCATGAGAGAGAGGTAGAGAGAGAGTAAGGGGCTCAGGCAACGGACACCAAGCATGGAAAGGACGGACAACACTGGACAGAGAGTGGTCACAGCCCAGAGGGAGAAGCAGGAAATGGAGATCAGAGGTCTTGGGAAGGCAGGGAAACAGCAAGCACAAGATGGATCATGGGGAATGGGGTTATGATAAAGGGGTTTACAAGCAAGTTACAGCATTCTTCTTTACCAACTTTCCTGAAGATTGGAGTTACGCAGAAATGTGGTGAACGTTTGCCAAATACGGGAGAGTGCTGGCAATATATAACCCGCAAAGAAGAAGTAAAAGTGGCAATAGGTTCGGCTTTGTGAGGTTCCGTGATGTGAAGTGGGTAAAAGAACTTGAGAGTCAACTGGACCAAATCTGGATTGAGGGGCGCAAACTCTGGGTTAATGTAGCCAAATACCCTGAAGAAAAATCAGAAAAGGTGGAGAGGAGAAGAGTCTCTGGTATAGCTACTGTGGTACAAGGAAAAACATATGCAGATGCAGTAAAAGGACAACAAGTGGACAAGCCGAGGGAAGCAAGGGGGCATGAATTTGTGGCAAGAGCAAATACAGATCTGGAAAAGCACCATAGCAGAAGGAATCCCAAGCAGCAAGAGAGCAAATAGACATGGATAGAAAGGAGCAAAGAAACAGAGTGGTCTGGCTTTGAATATAATGTGAAGGTTGAGGATTATGAGTGGTTACAAGGCTGTTATGTAGGAACAGCTCGCTCTATTGAAATTGTCCCAACCCTTCAAGAGAAGTTTTATATGGAAGGCTATTTTACGCGCCGGTTACGAGCAATGGGTGGGAAGTTGGTTTTATTGGAGTGTGAGGACAAGGAAGAACTTAGAGACTTAGTGTAGGGAGCTCCGGATTGGTTAGGCCAATGGTTCCTAGAAGTAAAACCATGGTCACCACCAATGGTAGCAAACGAAAGATTTGTGTGGATGAGATGCCAAGGAGCCCCTTTGCATGCTTGGGATCTAGAATTTTTTGAGAATATGGCAGTTGCTTGGGGTAAATTTATCTGTTTGGATGATAGTACCAGCAAGAAAAGAAGGTTCAACATTGCTCGTTTCCTCATCTCAACGTCCATCATGGATTCAATTTCAGTCAAAAGACAAATTAGAGTCAATGGTGTGATATACAACTTAAAATTCACTGAAGAGGAACAGACGAACAGCCTTTTCTCAATCAAATATGACTTCATGCCAAATTTCAAGAGTGAATCAGAAAATGAAGAATCATGGTCAGAAGTTAGTGATTATGAAGATGAACACGGAGTAGATTGGCAGACCATCGCCGGAGAAGAAGTAGAAGCTGGTGGCACATGGGGTCTATACAGAAAAGACATGGGGTTGGCTGTCATCCCGTCCTTCAAGGAAGAGGGTGAATTTGAATTAGAAAAAGCCAGCAATGATGTGAGGCAATCCAAAAAGGTTGACAAGAGATCACAAAGCCAGATTGAGGAAGAAGATTCAGTAGAAGTGGTGGCAGATAGCATTAATGTGGATGAATATTTGAATGATGCAGGAGACAGAGAAGACGTTGGGGAATGCAACTCTGATTCAAATGCAAAAACTCAAGCCACAACGGATCCTATTGAGGATTCGAAAGCCATTGGGTTGGAATTAAGGACCAAGCCCATTAGGGAGGAGGTGGGCCAAATGCACCTCACAACAAAAGAAATGGATACTGCAGCTTTGGCCAATGGAGAAAGGAGTAGCAACATGCAATCGGGAAATAAAATGAGGCCTGTTAGTGCAGTTGAGAAAGGAGCAACCTGTAGACAAAAAAGGAGCACAAAAGGAGGGTCTACCACGGAAAACTCTAGGCTGTTCTGGGTAGGATTTGCAAGTGACGAAGGCTGTGAGAGGGAAGGGAGAGGTAAAAAGGGAAAAAGAGAGAAGAAAAGGAAGAGGAAGAGAACAAAATTATGTAGCTCGGTATATCAGAGAGCCACTTTTCTTGGGCGGCTAAACCAAAAGAAAAAAGGCAAAGCTAAAGCTCGGCCAAGACAACCAGAGGCGCAAGGGAAGAAGATTCCGGAGTTTGTTCCATGCGCTAGCAATCCAATAGCAGGAGGCTCAGTGGGGGACAGCGGTATTGAGAATTGCAACAGAATTTTGAAGAAGCAACCAAGCAGAAATATTGTAGTAGATCTATGGAATTTTGCCAAAAAAATAGGGGTAGTAGCTGAGAATGAGGAGAATGTTATTAAAAGACTTGAGGAGATGGAGTCGAGAGACAGGAAAGCTAAAGAAGAGGAGAACTCAAGGAAAACGGCCAAGGGACAGAAGGTTAGTTGTTCTGCACAATGAATATTATGTCCTATAACATTAGAGGGTTGGGGGGTGTTGGAAAGAAAAGACAACTTAGACAATTAGTGTGTAAAGAGAAGGTAGATTTTTTGGCTGTTCAAGAAACAAAGTTAGAAGAGGTGGACAGAAAAATTTCTAGCTCAATATGGGGATATGAAAAGTTTGATTGGGTAGTCAAAAGCTCAGCAGGGATGTCAGGAGGTCTATTGTGTTTATGGAATAATAAGATACTAAGGAAGACACAAGTTTTTGAGGGAGAAAATTATATAGGCATTGAAGGGGTGTGGGTTCCAGAACAAACGCCTGTTATCATTATAAATGTGTACTCTCCATGCCAATTAGCTGGCAAGCGAGTCTTATGGGAGGAGTTAAAAACTCTGATATCAGGAAGGGGGGGGGAATATATGTCTGGTGGGAGATTTCAATATAGTTCGGAGAATGGAGGAAAAGGCTGGAAGAAGTGGTTTGACGGTGGAGATGAGAGAATTTGATAATTTTATTTGTGAATCAGAGCTGTTTGACATTCCTCATGTGGGCAGAAAGTACACTTGGTATCAGGCTAATGGTAAATCCATGAGCAGACTAGACAGATTTTTGCTTTTTGAAGGGTGGCTATCAAAGTGGGATGAGGCTAGACAGTGGGGATTATGCAGAACAGTATCAGATCATTGTCCAATTCTGCTTAGACATAATAAAGTTGATTGGGGGCCTAAGCCATTTAGATTTTTTGACTCATGGCTGGAATTAGAAGGGTGCAGAGAACTGATAAAAGATGTGTGGAACAAGGCTAACATTCAAGGGTGGGTTGGATTCCGCCTTAAGGAGAGACTGAAATTAACTAAGGAGGCACTAAGGAAGTGGAACCAAAACCTAGTCTCGGATATTGACAACAAAATAAACAAAGCAGTAGCCGAGATTGCTCAAGTAGATTTAAAGGGAGAGAGGGAACAACTGATGGAGGAGGAGATCAAGGCGAGAATGGAGGCCTTTCTAGATTTGTGGAAGAATCTAAAGCACAAAGAAAGCATGCTACAACAGAAATCAAGGAAAACTTGGCTGCTAAATGGAGATGCGAACACAAAGTTTTTCCATAATTGTGTGAAAGGAAGATGGAAGAGAAATGAAATGAACAGCATATATGTGCAAGGAACCCAGATTGTAGAAGTGAGCAAAATGAAAGAGGAGATTTCATCTTACTTTGAAAGTATGTTTAAAGAAGAGCAGGGGGAGAGACCAAAATTAGATGGGATATGCTTTAAACAAATAACTGGGGAAGACAATAGCTCACTCATCAAACCATTCAATGTAGAAGAGATAAAGGTAGCAGTAGAAGATTGTGATAGCTCGAAAGCACCAGGCCCCGATGGATTCAATTTCAGATTTGTCAAGAGTGAATGGGAGGTAATTAAAGAGGATGTCATAGGATTCCTACAAGATTTTCACAAGAATAGCAAAATGGTGAGGGGACTAAATACCTCTTTCATCGTCCTCATCCCAAAAGTGGATAATCCATAGAAGATTGAGGAATTCAGACCCATTTCTCTCATTGGTGTGATGTACAAAATTCTTGCAAAGATTTTAGCCAACCGGTTAAAAAAGGTACTTGATGGGGTAGTTGGTGAGCAACAAATGGCGTTCATTAGTGGTAGACAATTAATGGACGGGGTTGTCATAGCAAATGAGGTGGTCGATGAGGCAAAAAAAAGGAAGAAAGAAACTTTCATGTTTAAGATTGACTTTGAGAAGGCTTAC